GGCAAACCAGGCAGTATACGCAGCTGTCAAGTATGCCCCAAGATGAACATTTATTTGACAGCAAGACGCGGCTCCTGGCAAACCAGCATCAGATGTTCATATCCATAAGTCGTTCTAAACCTCACCTGGTCCCTCCCAAATATCTCTACGATACGGCGATGCGTGAAAAGCTTATTTTAGTCGGACCAAAGCATGATCGAATGGGTTTGAGTATAGATCTCATGTCTCAAGCCCAGAACAGGATTTTTGGATTTCTTGATAGTGTTAACTTGCACGAACCAATTGCTTGACCTCCAGTTATTGGGTCACTATTCGTAATCATGTAGAACCAACCCTCGGACCTTCATAACAGGTACAACCAAGCATCCTTCAGCAGCTGCATATGATATGAAGACATGCTAGTAGGGAGTTAGTAACCGTAATGAGCGGAGCCTATTGTGACCACACACACCTGCAAAAGCGCTTGTATTGTGGCTGTCGCAGTTTTAGAAATAAACGCACGTAGACTATCGCTACCGTGGGAGATACTGGCATAACAAGCCTGAAGGTCATGAGCAGAGAGCCCTGGCTCGAGCACCTTGCAAATCATAATACCAATAGACTTGATATCGAACTGTTCGGACCCTTGATGTCGTTCGAGCAGACAAGCTGCTATATTCGCTGTTTAGGTTTAGTCTTGGTCATTATGTTTGGTAGGATCACTAACCAATCTTCACACTACCCTGCGATGATATGAACACATTGTCGTAGGTAAGGGCTGTATGGCAAACACCGAGATCTCGGTGAATATACCAAAGCCCATGCAATAGCTACATAAATATCAGTAGGTAAGACAAATTCTTGGTATGATTCTGTAGCTCACCTCCTTGCAAATGAAAGCAAGATCAGACTCCTTTAGTTGAATGCCAGACTGAAGTTGCTCCAATGAGATCTCCATAAGCTCGTACGCTAGATACAGAATTCTAGACTGTTCGAATGCATCAAGGAGATTCACGATATTTGGGTGACTGATCACCTTCAAATGACAAGTCTTGTCGATACCACTCGTCTTATACTCCTTAATTGCAACTACTGTTCCCGGGGAGTCGGTGGCGTAGGCTAGGCAGGTTTTTCCCGGCTTCGCTCCCTGTTTGAACCTTTGATATTTTATCCAGGGCGTGTGATCCTTGCAAAATAATAGCACTTGGCGTTTGGGGCCTGGCTCATCAGCCGTGGCGGTTCCCTTAACTGGGAGCTGGAGCCATTGCGCTGGCAAATGACGTTTTGGAAGGCGCTGCACTTGCCTATTTTGGGGCTCACTGTTGTTTCTGGTATCAGATTCACTATCGCCTATCTCCGCACTTCTCGGAAACACAGTAATTCGATTGTCATTAATGTCAGTGTGGCTCTCTATCTTCCTGTTATCGTCATGATTGTTGTTTTGGGGAATAGTTCCGGATGCAATATCCGTACTTCTTGGGAACAGAGTCCCCCGATTATCGCTCATACTTAATCTTTTTCCCCTTTATGTCTATGCAGGGGAGTGGGAGCTTAAATATTCCCGAGCAGTAGCCAGAAGGAGGAGGTTGGTACAAGTACGTTGTATTTTTAGCACTACTAGCGGAATCGTGGGCGATTCGCCCACGACTGTCGCGCCACTAATTGAATCAATTAATTCATTCTTAGTCTCATTCTTTATTACAGTATCTATCTGATTACTACTCGATGTCCTAGCTACTATCCTCGTACATCCCTTAGCTGTCGCTCAGGAAAACCCAAATACGGCAAAAATACAACCTAGCCCTATCATCAACGTTGTTCGCAGCGGGACTTGGACCGATTCAGTGCCATTTGAGGTGGTACTCGATGAAGTCGATCCAGGTGATGAAGTCGATCCAGGTGATGAAGTCGGTCTAGGTGATGAACAGGTTGGGGATATAGGAGTGGGTATGGAGGTTGTGGCAGGGGTAGAAACAGGCGTAGAGGTGGGGAAACGGCTTCCGCGGATTGTAGGGTGGTGGGCCGCCTCGACGCTTCCTATTGGGCTATGCCTCAAAAGGTCAGTCGAAGAAGCGCCCTGGGGCCACATTGTTCGCGTTCGAGTAAGTCTATTTGTGCTCTTTGGATTTGCCAGAGAACTGTGCAAATGTCTAACTGAAGACGTGTTTTCCAAGGCTATGGCCGTCGTATATCGAGTCGCGGTGCCTGTCGTCGTTATGGTGATGCTCACCGGGTTGCTTATGCCATGACTGGCGGCACTCCCAGCTGCTAGAACACACGCTTGAAAGTAGGCTAAAGTAATGAAGAACAGCATCATCTTTTGAAAATGGATTTATCATATTGTAGAGACTTCTAAGGGGCTTTAAGCGAAATGTGGATTTCAAAAAGTAGAAAATGTTCGAATGTTTCTTTTCTACTTTTGACCTTCGTAACATTTCAACTATACTGGCTGTGAATTCAATGTTTCTTATCCTTCGAGTGAATTTACCTACCAAGGACAGCATATCTTGCGGTGGGTAATATAAATAGCTTTAATATTAAGCGGCCGGACAGTTATAGGTGTGATCACCGCTGCCTAGGCGAACCGCCCACGATGGTCCCACTTTGTGATGAGCCTCATCACCTGTTTCTATTTCCGTGGCGGGCCATCCTCGGCAAGGATCGACAGGGGAATTCTCTACGGGGCACACAATATATAGTTGCAGACTACCAAACTTAGCCCTTTCGACTACATGACATGTCAAACCCAGCTAATAGGAAACGTGCTCTGGAAAGGAGGAGGTGTCGGGAAGTGCTCGCAAACCACATTAGTAAGTATAGGCGAAGGCGGAAGGGGAGGACATTGCTAATCAAGAACAAAGATAATCGACTCGGGTTATGCGTGCGACCGTCAGAAGTCCGCCTTCATCCATCGGAAAATGATGGCTATGCTTGGCTTTTTAGCAATGCGACCAGCCATTTGTTCGATAGGCAGCTTAGCGAAATGTCGACCAACATGTACATTGAGATATCCAATGGGTTAGAATGTGGGGATATACGAGCAGTTTGCAACGATGATCGTTCCCAGGTGCGGACAAGTCTCCACGACCAAGAAGCGGATACCCATAACCTTGAAAAACAACTACAAGACTCCATACACACCATTCAAAAATTGAAAACCGAGATCGAGAACTATAAGCATAGGGAGGAAACTTTACTATCTCAAAACCGTCGCTTACGCCAGGCTTTTACCGTTTACCTCAGAAAGGCCCATAGCATTGGCCGGTGCCTTGGAGAAACGGAGCGGCAGATTCACGAGTTTTTAAATAGTATGAAGTTGAAAAAATGAAATCACTACCATCTTTCCACATTTATAGTTTATAGCACTGTGATGTCTCTCCCATTGGTATCATCTAACGAGATACCTAGGGCCTCGAGAAGATGACTCTCTGACTCCGAAAGTCTGTAGGATGCTCGTTGCAGACATTGTCGAAGAAGAAAACCAGCATGCTGCGCGTCATTCACCAGCTCTGGAAAACAGTTGTCCCCATTATTCTGGACGCTGGCTTTAAGGAGTGCCTTTTGAAGGAGGCGATATACCTCCCTTGTGTCCCCAAAAAGACCCAACAGGGCTTCCTTTGCCTCCTGATGCCAAGCTAATTCTTGACGAAGGCGTAAGAGTTCTTGTTGAATATCACCTAAGTGAGGTGCATTCACGTTTGTTGGCTTCACATTTGTTGGCTTCACTTTTGTTGGCGCTTCCAAATAAATTGGAAGACGCTCGGTGTTCAGCGTATGCACGCCACTCTGAAGGATATGATGCAGTTGGTTGGATGATTTGCGATCTTCCGGCTGGTTGATATCCATTACGTACAAGGGTATAGACTTGAATGTGATTCAATTTGATCAAATGGTATTATACAGAATAAATAATGAGGAATAAGTGTCCTTTATACAATAGCGCCAAGGCCCAGGAGGTAGTCTTTGGGGCGACTCGCCCACGGCAGCCCCACCTTAATCACGACGGAAGCTTGGCGGTGCTAGCATGGTAATCTGGCGTTGAGATGGCTGCGTAGTTGGAACCCGCCGGCTGGAAGGAGGTAAAGGCTCAAAATCATCGTAGGTGTGAGTCTGGGGATGCTGTATGGCCTGCTATAAAAGTCAATTGATGGACTCAGGGATGAAGAGTATAAATCCTACCTGTTCTAAACCCGGAATATCATCATGCGTTTTGAATATCCAATGTTTATCGGATTCATCAACCAACACCACTATTGCTCTCATTCGACACAGAGCGCAGAGCTGACGAATCTTTCTAAAGCATGTTTTTCGGCGGCGGCTTTCACCGGAGCGATCCGTAAGTTGCGGCATTGTGTAGAGTAGACTTGATAAAATCAAAAGTCTCCAGTGGCGATTTGTACATTATATACTTTGGGTGTCTTCTAAAAATAACTATTCTTTGTCGTATCGCCCACGGGTGACGTACATACTTGGCTATTTTTGGTTGATGGTCCACCAATCTGCACGCTCGCACATCTATAAGAATCCCAATACCAATTTCTGCAACTAGACAAGACATTGCTCACACCTTCAGATAATTGTCTTACAGAATGTGGATCACTGATCCCTCCACTCTGTATGCTATCATAATTGGGGGGTTATTGCTCTTGCTCTTCTTATGGACCAATACAAGTCGCGCCTTTAACTTTGTGCGAACTTCGCTAGCCGTCCCAACGCAATGGGTAACCGTGATCATCTTGAAGTATCTCGTCTATCCGCCCATTCTAAGAAGACGATCAAGAGCCTGGCTACTCTTACAGCTTATTTATTGGCCTGGTAATATCGTCAGCACGATTATACAAACGCATAACCTCACTGATATCAGAATTCGGTCAGGGTATATGGCCGTTATAAACTTGTTCCCCCTTCTTATGAGTGACCGATTGAATTTTCTCGCCGACATCTTTGGATTTTCAATTCAAACATTCAGGAGTATACATGGAACGTTGGGAATAATGTCCACTCTGCAAGTCGCTCTTCACATGTCCGTTGCAATACACCAAGCTGGGTGGCACCTAAAGCGGAATCTGCAAATTTATGGGCTACTGGTAAGAAGATTCAATTCATCTTTCTAAATCGTACTGATATCCACTATAAAGGCATTTTCCGGCATTGCACTTGCTATAATCACACATCTTCTTCGCAGATTTGCGATAGAGACTCTATCTAAAGTTCACGGAATTGCTGCCGTTCTTGTTGGCGTAACTGTTTTGTGCCACCTGATACAATCTAAGAACTTCCCACAATTAGGAGTTCTGGTTTCTAGCGTCGCTATTCTTCTCCTCTTTGTACTCCGGTGGGTATTGCTTCTCATTCGGAATGTCAAGTACGGGAAAGTCGCATCTCGTGCAGTCATCATTCGGATTAAACATGCTGGTGCCGTTCGAGTCGTGATCCCAATCAACCGACCATTCCGGGTTCAACCTGGAATGATCGTATACATATGGATGCCTGGTGTCAGCTTGCGCTCTGCTATCCAGACATATTCCTTCCCGATATCTTGGTGGGACAACGATATAAATGGAAACGCCACAAGTATCACGCTGCTGGCGCGTAAGGAAATGGGCCTCGCGCAAAGTCTGATGGATCATCCGAGAAGCGAGTTCTTGACTTGGTTGGATGGACCGTACGGTCGTCCAGAGGGAATCGCAGGTTATAACCGGGTTCTTTTCATTGGCACTGGCATTGGAATTGCTTCATTGCTATCCTATATTAGGCTCTCAGTGGAGAGTAATATTTATCACCACACAAATTGCGATATATTCATTGTGTGGGAGGTTGATGATGAGTGTAAGTTATCCCCCGATATTTGAACTTTTTTCAGATTCTTACGAAAGATAAGCAAACCTCGACTGGATATACGACTGGATGGATGAGCTTCTTCGGAAGGACAATGGGGCTTATGTATGTCGAAACCATGATAGTTTGACATTGATCTGTGCTAACAACACACTAGAAGCTTCGTTTCGCGCTACATATACCATCCGCCCGACCTGCTCAGGACACTCACGAAATGTGGAATAGCAAGCACGGGAGAATTTTCAGGCTCCATTCCGCTGTGAATGCGAAGGATGCTATCCCTAATGACTTTTTTAAAGATAAAAGAAAGGGGTTGATTGCTGGTCAGTGGAAAGCCTCCCTTTTTGAGGTTTGAAATTGATGTTTGCCACTTCAGTCTGCGCAGAAGGAAGTATCGTCACAGAACTTTCTGGGCTCGTAGCCCATGAAATGACAGGATTGGTGAACATTGTCGATCTTCAATTCCCATCAGCCAGCATTGAAGGAGGCTGTACTCAAGCTTCACCTCCTGTAAAGTTTTATTCTACAGAGAATGGTGGTCAGGTGCACAGCGGTATAGATCCTCCAACGACTCACACCTGGACAGAGGATTCGTACACGGAATACAGTGGAAGCCGACCTACACGTGAAAATGGGAAATACAGTTAACTTGAGGCCCTGGTGGCCGAGATTGTTTTGAGATGACGTGGAGGGGTGCAAGCACTGAAAGAAAGGCACTGGGCCGTTTACCGACGTGTGTGGTCGTCGACATCGAGCTATATGCCTTTAACGACTGACTAAAAGGCCTCCTATTTGGGGTGGACAGGATGGCACAGAATTACAACGTGTATGGCATTTTCATGTGAAATACGAGGTCTATTCTTGGAAATTGAGATCAACGACTATACCAAATACAAATTAGCTTGTCCCGAGCTAGAAACGTCCAATTCCAACGTGTGATCAATGTTTGCTTAAAGGAAAAACGTATCACAAAGATGCGTGTAACGTGCTGCTCTTCTGAATCTCTTGCATAATCACTCTTTTGGTGTCTTCACCTGCAGATTGCATGACTGTTTGGCCCCTGTAGTTTTCAATGTTCACGTTTGCTCCTTTGTGAATCAGATAACGAATAACGTCATGTCTTTTGAGAGCCACTGCCGTGTGTAGGGGAGTTTCCCTCATAAAGGGAAACATGTTCCAAGAATATTGATGGTCTTGGTACATAAGGGAATCAAGAGAAGCACCCCGATCAATGAGGATTTCAACAACTTGGAGGGTGTCGGACTCTCTATAAATCGCATTATGCACAAGCTGGCCTATTCTGACATCACCACCACGGCGTAGGAGAAGATCAATGATTGGCAAATCGGCATATTTGACGGCATAGGAGAGCGGGGTAATATCGATATGACATCGCGTATTCGGATCTGCGCCACGATCAAGGAGCCATGTTGTCATATCCAGGTCCTCGAGAGCGTTGCTAAAATGAAACAAATTTTATTTAGCAGGGAACTTTTGGAAGAAGACAGGTTTTCTCACGCAAGAATGGGGGGGTCCATGCCACCCATTGGCGCGTTAATATCCCAGCCGTTATCGAAGAATGCTGTCAGGATATCTTTCGCCTTTCCCCTGACAGCTTCGAGTACATAGAATGACGATATAGGTATATTACATCGGAGTAGCTCCTTCACGAGATATACCTTGTTTGACCTGATAGCATCAATCATAACCTCGTAGAAATGACGGATATCACAACCATCACGGACACTGCGATCAAGAAATTCTCGCAACTGTTGCTCGCTAAGCTCGGGTACCTGGTAAACTAACAAAAGGGTATTTGCTGGGATCGAAGGGGGGGTTCCCAACCGACTGATGTTTCCAGGGGTTTGATGAGCAGACATGGTCGAATACTTGGGTGCAGGGAGTGAGTAGCCTTTGAAGAGCGATATAACAGAGAATGGACTGGTTGACGAAGGGGGTGGAAGCATTCCACTCGCTCTGCACACCGCCTTCCTCTTGCCACCTGCCAAGCCTCACACTTAGGACCCATAAACTCCGCACAAATTGCGACGATCGGCCACGCAATATTTCATTGGATACTGACCATATCCGCTAATTTTATTTAGTAGTATGACACTCGAATGAAGTTATTTAGTTTCATATAGGTAAAAATCTATTTGCATCTCATTTGTTTGGGTTGGCATATCATATATTCACGTGACGATCCTCCACCAGGATCTTTGGCTTCACATAATCACGCTTTTTAATCACAATTACTGTCCCCTTCCCCACAATTGTAGAGTTTCCGGGCACCTCGTAGGAAATTATTTTAGTGGTCAGCCCAAGTCCTATTAGACTCATTTGCATGATATCGAGCTGGCTTGGCAGTGCAACTTGTCCTCGGAACACTGCACATATAACGATCGTTTCGGCAGAAGGAAAAAATTGTCGTTTATCCCGATATAGCGTGCCGACCTGGTTCATCATAAGTTGGACATTGGCATCACCACTTGTTGGGTTAATTGTTGCTTGTGGTTGTGGAGGAATGTGTGCGAGTATTGCACCATACGCAGATGCAATGACCACGACAGAGCATGACCCAAGATCTTTGGTCCCAATAGCGTCTTTTTCTCGGAAATCAAGGAACTGGGCTTGACCCATTGCGACATTCTTAACAGCTCCAGCGGTATCCCATAATTCAAAATGTCCGGGGTTGGATCTGGACATATTGAATCGAGACTGGGTTCAGCAGAATTGGGGCGAAAATGGAGCTGCGCGTGACTTATTAGATCTCTCACGGTTGGACCGAATTGCAGATTGGAATATTGGAGTTCGTACAAAGCAAATCCCTCCCCCCCTCTTTATTTCTCTTTATACGCTAGTTGTTTGTTGGGTGGTGGTTTATTCGAGATGTTAAGCATCTACCGCTTTCGTGTTATGATGAAAAAGTTTTCGCAAAGAGCGTGGCACATCTCACTCCTATAAATACAGGGGAATCAACAGCGCGGCGCAAGCCAAGTGTCCGTGCATACGTAGTGATAGGTTCTAATTGCTCGCTGTTAAAGGCACTGGTCTCGCGCTAATGCTTGACCCGGGCGAGCGGAGACTGTGGGTATAAAGATCACACTATTTTTAAGCGCTCGTACAATCTACCCGTAAAAGGGCCCTATATGTCACATTTTGGAACCACGTATAGCTAAAACTAATACTGTAGCTGAGCTTGCTTAGTAGTACAATATTGTCAGTTGTATGAACTATGAAGATGGAAGAAAGGGTAGAACTATCTGGTATATGTGGAAGGAATGATATATGACAGAGAGAATTCATTAGTCTGGGTCGACTTAGACATTTTGGGCGCTTCCGACCGAGCTGACCGCGAGTAGGAAAACAATAATACGCGAATATATAAGAGGCTCAATTTATAGCGGAGTTATATAAAACAATAGGTAGAAAAGAGTCTTTATAGATAGTAGGTATAGGGATAAAGATATAGCTATCTTATATCTCTAAAGATTAGGTGCAATTTCTACCTATTCTTAATATAAGGTTATCTTTTATAAGAAGAGGTAATACCTACCTCGAGCTTGGATGTAAATTATATTTTACGCAAATCCCGGATTTAGGTACCCGAGGGTGCTAAGCTTATTGTGCCTCTAATTGGTATATATATCATTTTAAAGGTTATTAAATGTTCTATTGGTATCAAATCCTGTGTACCGTGAGAATAGATAAGGGCTTAGTCCCTTATGGATATTCCTGCGCTATTTGCGACCAATATAGGTGCCCCCGGGTACTTAAGAGAGTGCAGAAATGCTTTTTTTCCGAAGGGCTCTACCCGGATACCACCTTAAGCAATACCTATCTCCTATCTAGACAGAGACTACGGTATATACCGACCTATCTAAGAATTGTTAGAGGACTACTACTATCTATAGGAGAAAGCAGAAGAATAATCATAATGGATTAGAAGTGAGAGAAGTAGGGTTTATATACCCTACTAAAACCATCTGAACAAAGGCTCAATCTGTCAAACAATCAATCTAGCAAAGAAGCAATCTAGCAGTTAAGGAAACATAAAATGTATGTATAGGAGGTAGTCTAGCAAGAATCCTGGGCAAATCTATGCCTTACAAGTAATTAAGCTTAAGTAGTTGAGAGAAGAAAGACATAAAATCACGTCGTACGTACAAGTTTAATAAGCTTCAATAACACAAAGTTAATCTGGCAGTTTGTTGCGTATCATCTGTATAAAGAGCTCTTTGGTTATTAGGCCTCGAAAAAAGACTCGAGCTCTTATATCCAATAGCCATCGGTTAGACCTATACTATTGCGAGACTAAAATCGCCACATTATCCCTATACGCGAATAAGCTTTCGATATCCTTTACTACGATAGTTATGGGAACCTAATTATTAGCACGCGACCAGCCACTAGGGTCTTCGTGAATTCCTTCCCGGATATCAAATAGTCCTAAACGTTGCAGAAACCTAGGCCGGTTAAAATTCTATCTTAAGGAGTTCTATATCCACAAAAGCAGCTCAATAATATAAACTAGTCTTAAATACTAAAAAATGTCCCTTACAAAAAATCCCTAATTGTCGACTTCCCTCTCGTTAACTTGAAGATATCTGCTTAATATATCTTCATCTTGGCCTTCTAGCCAATCTAGAATACTAGATAACTGGAATGCTTTCCGTCCGAGGAAACCCTACACAAAATCCACCACTTCGATAATGTTAATTTTATCTGATACGGACCTCGTAGGATTGTTATCCTATATATCCTAGGTGCGCTCGAATGTCTTATCGAATTCCCGCGCATTCGGAAAGACTTAGGTTCTGACTAGCTAGAGCGATTCTACTGAATTCCAATATATTATTACGGCTTTGTATAATCTTTGATAGGACTGTTACCTCTGTTTTATGCTTATTTCCTTAACACTAGCGCTAATAGGACTAGATAGAGGCGGAAGAGCCGATTCGCTAGCTATTTCGTCATTTATCTTATCCGCAAGGACCTCTGAGGGAAAAGCGGAACTAAGGTAGGCTTTGTTGATAGCGGAGTCGCAATAAAGGCTATATAGAATATATATCCCGTGCCACCTGCAGACTATATCCTAGATAATCTTAGCGGGGACATTATCGCCGCTGCCAGACGGGTTTAGGAACCTAGAAGCTAGCGACTGGCGATATATAGGATTTTGCGGAATAGGCAATAACTTATAAAAGTCGTAAGAAAATTGCCCGTACAAATTCACTCGTTGACTTAGCTCACAGTCATATTCGTGATAGGAAGCCCGTGCCTGTTATCTTGTCAACTTACTACTAGAATAAACTCGATCTATACAACGTATAATAATAGATCTGAATATCTTCAATCGGACGCTTATTGGGTCGAAAACGTAATAAAGATACTTGCAATATCTCGCGAAATATAACGTATCGTCGATATCATTAAGTGATTCGAATACCTAGATAATAATTTTAGCTAGGAGATTCACAATATAGTTTATATTGCCAACTCGAAAGGACGACTGTAATAAGAATTAAGAAGAAGAGTACGATTTTCAGGAAGTTCAATATGCTAGTCTCCTCTGTAGAAAGTAGGCAGCCGCAGTAGCCCTACCGCCTCGGGGGCTCTATATCACAAAGTCAAATGAAAAAGATTGGCTTTACCCTAGACCGGTAGATATTGACAAAGTACCCTGCCATAAAAATTGACTGTGCTCCTAGTTAGTGTGATCAATTGGCGGAGATAGGCTGTAGGCGAATGTATGAAGTGGGGAACAGAGCTGCTTTCTGATTGGTCGTGTTTCGGTTAATCAACGGATCGTTGGATCTGGTCCATTACAGACGGCGATCTCGTGGAGTCCGAAAATTACTATCGACTTAGTACTGCTTTTTCCCAGGTGAAATTTATAACTAATGTCCGCTGTTGGTAAGCTAACTGTCGATCTGGTGATTTAGAGTTTAGAGAAGGTTGTACTTCGGGCTTGAAGGTTTGATAAGCGGGGTTTTCGGTGGAAGCAATGTGTCGGACAGAATATGGGGCATAATACCGCTAGACCAAAAATGCACTATAGGCGACATTCTTAGTCTATACGGCTATCTCTCGTTCTGACAAATGACCATGATGTACTTTGATTTCTTTCGCCTCCGGCGGCACAGGCTTTCTGTGCACAGTAAGGCCATACCAATTAGGATCGCTCAAAAACCCAATTTTGCGATAGGTCCTCCGGCGGCAACCTTGACTGACAAAAGCAAATTAGCGCCCAACATAGGCCTGTGATACGGACTTTTGTACAAATTTAGATCGACTCCGGATCACCACTCTAGGCACGTGCTAATGGCGCCTGAGCCAAACTTCCGAGCACCTATTTCGAAATATTCTCAAAAGATCAATTTCAACTTCAATTTTGATCTTTAAATCCATTTCTGTATGAGGCTAGCTTCACCTAATTTCCCCCCAGCGTCCCTAGACCCCTGCCTCTAGACAAACTAGACAATCTAATGGTTTCAAATACAGGATCAGAGGCTGTGGCAAAAGATGAGGGGACTTGTAGTACTTTATCCCTCGTAAATATTATTTCAAGGCATCTCGCTTCCTGCTGCCTAAGGATCCATGAAAATTCTCGGCCAAACTCTTATTAAAACGATGATGTAACCTCCAACGGGACCCATGAAACTTCTTGTACTTTTGGATGTCCCAAAGTACAATATCCCTACTGGGTCAGGGGTGTCTGCATGAGTAACCAATCATGTGACAGTAATATCAGCCTCCGCGCGGCCGAGAAAAATGGCCCCCACACGTATGCAAGAATATCACAACCCCGCAGTTTGCACTATGTGAATTTGGAATCACTAACGTGCCTCACGCTAGGGGTACCGGCATGGTCGGACCGTCATGTGGCCGGTTCGAGGATAACGAACGGTCTTTGGCCTATCGCAAGGCTTTTTGCCTTCTGTTGCCGACCGCCGCCCGGTAGACTTGAAGCGTCGGAGGTGATAGCACGGATCTCTAGAGCATTAGGAGGCTAGGGGGATGTTTTGCTTCGGTGAACAGGGATAAGTGGAAACTGTTGGTTGCTGATACCGTATATCTTTGATTTCTGGTTGTTGGCGCGAGTTATTCTTTTCCCAACTTATCTATAAGCCAATTAGCGTCCATAGGTATTCCAAACTTCGCGGCCTTCGCTCATAGGCCATCACGGCAAGTTCGCGATCGACGGTCTAACTACCCACCAGGGTTAAAACCCAAGAGCCATCCTTATCCTAGTCCGGACCACAAGGTCTTGCTTGCGGCTTCCTAATTCCTATGGGCGGTACTGGACACGGCGCGAGGTCTCGCACACACATGGCTTTTGGAGTACGGTGACTCTCCCTTTCGGTTTTGGAGACCCACCCTTGTCCCGATATCTCGAAGAAAGTTTGGTTTGGGCCTGGCCAACGAGTCATGCGTTTGTGATAGGGCGACATTAGCTCGTGGCGCAACCTTTGCGATGATCCAGGATAAATGCAGAAGACTTGAATGGGAAATTCGTCGGGCTGATTAGCGCTGTCATGTGCCAGACTCTAATCACGCCCCAGATGAGTTCCACAGAGATCCATTACCAACTCCAACTCGATTCCCGATCATTGAATATAGTCACTTGTTTCGGCTCTGCATAGTGAGAACGTCTTCCAGCATATTCCAGATTTATCTCGATCTCCTGTTGGCCTGCCAATATGCTCCATGCCTTGCCACTGGAAATATTGTCCATGATTTTGGAATACGTTTGTGCCTGTATAGCTCGACTTCATGACACTAGGCTAACTTACTTAGTGCTACAGAAAGGAAGATCTGAAAAACCTTTGCTTAGCCTCAAAAGCCTTGCACTCGGCGACTATACCACGACTTTACCGATCAATCATTCTTCTTTCGAGAAACGAGGATAATCTGAGTGACTTGAACGTTGGACCTCTTTTGGAGCGGGGTTCTCGATATCTTAAATTTACAAGGGAGATTATTCTGATCGCGGAGTTTCGTCAATTGCTTCGCCATCGCTGTCATGACCATGACTCTGATGACTCTGATGACTCTGATGACTCCGATGATTCTGATGATGGCTCCGATGTCGAATATGACTCCCCCAGCGACGAAAATGACTTAGAATATCGAGACTCCCCTCAAAGGCTTACTGTTGGTGAAGATGCAAACGGAAGTACACTTTATGACGAGGACCAGGAGAATCAGCCAGGCGACAAATCTCATCTAACAGAGCGGCCCAACGATCGCTCTGATGTCTCTTTGGTCGATCATCCTCATGTTGACTCTCCTGAGGGACGCTCGGATGGCTTCACGTGGCAGGAATGGCCGCCACATGAGCAGTTTATGCAGATTTTAGAGTCAAGAATCCAGCAACTTCTGGATTTGATTCCAGAAGGTAGGTTGGAAAGGTTCAGGTACGAGTTCCTTAATTGCAACTAAGCTCATGCGATCCTAATACCAAGCAATAGCTGGAATCTCGGTACCTGTGTTCCCGGAGCCGTAATCGAATACCTCAGCACGAAACAGCCACAAATCGCTCATCTAGAGGTCATCACCGACACGACTTGTCTAGGCCTAGATTATTTAAATATATACGATTTGTACGGACTCAAGAGACTTCGGCGCCTTCGCTTGGTTACGTCTACCTTTTTTCAGGACCCGGAATACTCCCTTGGAGAATTATTCCAAAACAATGCTTCGGCATTAGAGGAAATCGAGATTGACGAAGTTGGCCATGGAGGACTGCGAAGCAGAGTTCCGGGACAAAACAAACTGCTTCATCAAATGCTGGCGCTTCCTCCAGGGAAAATGCAACAATTGTTTCCGTCACTGAAGAATTTAACTCTGAGCGCGGTTTCCTTAGAAAATGGCTGTGATATCATGCCATCCGTTTTCTCTTTGAATTGCCTGCATTCGCTAGCTTTGAGAAACTGTGAAGAATCAGCTGGCTTACTCAAAGCGCTCGGATCAGACGACGTGTTGCCACACTCAATGAGACTCAAGTCCTTTGAATATCTTGATAATGGCATGTCGGTAGAGTCCGGGGGCATGGAATCTATTGCAAACTTTCTCATATCTTTCGAAGGGCTCCAAGATTTGTTCCTGTCATTCCTTGGCGTCTTTGAAAACAGTCTCCTAAGTTCAATATCTAATCACAAATCTTCGTTGAGACGGCTTCTGTGTCATGCCCCACAGATAACCCCTCGGCGAAATCCAACCCAGCGACCATTGAGGTTCCAATCCCCCTTGTTTACCCAACTCTTAAGAGAAACACCGAATCTCATTTGTTTGGGGCTTTGCTATTCTCCGGAAGACCTGGTAAGCATGGATTACTCATTTTGCATTTTGGTAAAAAAAGCTTTCTACTAACATGAACAAGCGCGCTCTTCTTTCTCTTCCGAGAACCTGCCCCCACCTCCGACTTCTGCATGTTAGAGCCTTCGGGTGGCTAGCATTTGAAGGGTATCGTGAAGGATTAGACGATCAATCGGAGTCTAAATTCTCTGCTATGCTTCCGGAGATACATGAACTTGCGAGTTGGGCTTTTGGGCCAGAGGGGTTACCAAATCTACAAGTTCTTGCTTATGGAGACTTTTCTTATCGAGGGCGTAGGCCACATCTTGTGCTCTGCAGATTTAAATCACTAGATGACGTGGATATACAAAAATCGGCTGCTGGGCTATCTGACCTAGCATACAGAGAGGTCACAAAGGAAGATGTCTCGGAACAAGAGATTTTGTACACAAATGCTCATTTCTTAGAAGCCTGCCCTGAGGATCCTTTGTTATATAAGCAGAATCGCCCGTTCTGATTGAAAATTCCATATTCTGGTTCCTCAATTTCACCAGGAGAAATTAGTTGGAAGTATCTATCGCTTCCTGGCAGTTTCCAGACCATACGTAATAACTGGCGTGGATGCGGTAGACTATTTACAACAACCTACGTATTTCGTTCATGTCCTGGATTATTACTTGCTTATTCCTAGAAGATTTCGATCCCATGATGTTAGACGAATAGGATGTTTACAGTTCGAATTTTCCTTGAATTCAACATCAGTTAGCGTGGCTGCAGGCGAATGTATGTAGTGAGGTACAGAGGATTGATTGCCGTTTAGTGTGGAAAGCCCCTATCTATTGGTGCTGAAATTGATTCCACTTTAGTTTGTGCAGAAGGAAATATCAGTACAGAGCTTTATAGGCTCGTAGCCAATGAAATGACAGGCTTAGTTAACATTGTCGATCTTCAATTCCCGTCCACCAGGATTGAAGGAGTTTAGTCTTTAACTCCTAGGAAGTTTTACTCCACGGAGAATGGCGGTCTATTGCAGGAAAGTAATACAGAAGATAGTAGCCGACTATAATCATCCTGTTATTTAGTATTAACTAGGGCTTTGTTTGAACACGTGATCTCCGAAATCTCATAGCCGAATCATTTGACCATACTTCCCTACCTATGGGTCTCGTCAATCTACGTATTCAACATCCTATCCTAGGAGACGAACACTCGGATGTAGTTGGCAACGCTAGAGTAACATTTTACCATTCTGGTGTAAAAACCTTTGTCTGAAATACAAAACACAGCCCGATTACCATCTATGCAAGTACTTGGTTTTTTCTGGGTTCCATTGTTTTTTTTAGAGTCCACATGTTATCCATGGGGATCCCAGCTAAGCGTAATTTCAAGACTTTTCTACCAAAATCCAACAACTCTCAGAAAAAGGAGCGTCTTTGCAAGCACAGTCGACCCTGCCGATAACAGCTCCTAGCAGACGTATTTTCATTTACCATTTAAGGTTTATATGCCTATTTGAGTATAGTATCCATGTGCTTGTGGCTATCTGTACGTTGTCGACAAAGTCTGCACTCTCTATCCTCCATCAGCGTTTCAACCGTGGGGGAGGCGAGCCCTGTGAGGGTGTTGGCTAACGATATTCGCATCATTTCGGACGAACACAATGTTACTCTATCCTTTAAGACAATGACCCCTCTGAAGGCTGCCAGACAGTGTCGTACATCTGTGTATATGCATCGATTCCCATAATTCAAGCTAGACAGGTGTCCTGCAGCAAGGACGTCATATTGACCAGCTTTTGCCCTCTGAGAGTGAGCCTAGGCCTAGAATTCTCGCCTTAACCCCGTGGCTGAAGATGGCGACATAGGACAACAATCTCCAGTTGGAGATAGGACCAATGTGCCAATCGTCTCCATTTTTGAGGCCCCATTCTCGGGACTACCCCACACTTGACTAGCCTACTTGTCTAATTGACTCATAACATTATGTCAACTGCGTGCACCATTTCGAGAGTACCGCATATCTGCACCTACCCATATGCGGTACAACACTGTGGCCTAGCCATACACCGTTAGCCCAATTATCCTTTAGGGTGACGTCAGCGTTGTGAGTTCTCTGGCATATAAAGGGCCTCCCCTAGCCGGTGTTATGCTACGGTTTTCTCTTCCCCTCTCATCCGGCCAAGTCATATCAGTGGTACTTCCCCTGCTGGCACTATGGCAAGCTATTCCAACACGATTATTATACCTGATGACGAGGAATCGCCAAACCTTGAGCCAACTATGTCGCGTCCTCAAAGGTACCCTCGGCGTGATTATAGATACCAAGAGTTTGAGAGCATGCTCGGTGAAGCAATTGATGATGCACCCATTATTCCGTCATCACGCAAGCGCAAAAGAACTGAAACAGAGTCGTCTATTTTGGTACCAGTCCCTCACAAGGCTCTCCTTTTCCCTTACTAACAATAGACCAGGACAATGTTTTCAAGAATGTCCGAAATGCAGTTGACGATGAAATCCAACGGTTACGAGACCAAAACCGGGCGCTCCAGGAGGAACTTCGCCAAGAAAGAGAGGAGCGCCAAAAAGTGGAGGAGGAAGTTCACCGGGGGAGGGAGGAGTGCCAAAAGATGGAAGACCAACTTTCCCGAGAAAGGGACAGGCTTGTTTTAGAATGCAAGATCTGCTATATCCAGCCAGATATCTGGAGGACTCTTTTATGTGGGCACTTGTTTTGTAATTCATGCGCAGGAAATCTTGACACATCGAAGGTGTGTCCTATCTGTAGAACACGTATCACAGGATATGTGGGATGCCGTCCATTTTCAGGGTAAAGCACGGGCGTCATGTTATAGGCCCAGTTCAAATTCGCAAGTTTTAAAAATCAAGCTTCACCTAATCAGCTAATTAGGGTTTTGAGTCCTATCGAATATGGTAGTAAGATGGAGAGAGTATGGTCTTGTCTAGGAAGGTATCTTTCTGTAGGGAGGGGGTGATCATTCTTATACCTTATCGGTGCTTTTGGGTTTTTGCTCTAACACATTAGAATCAGTATGTAGGCAGCCCCATCAGTCTTCCAGAGCACCGAAAGGTATGAAGTCAAAAAAGTGCTATCGAAGCTCCCATATATCTTACCGATTGACTTTTCATTTATAGTTGGTACCGAAATCAGCTTCCGCCCCAAGCATTGCTTTTTTATTTTTGGCTCTATTGCCTAAACACTGGTGTAGTAAAATATTTGGCATACTAATATAATAATAGCTCCCTCAACAAACTATCATTTCCAAATCCAGGATATCATATCAAGGCGTACGGATGAACTTCTCTAACAACAATGAAATACTGTGCATAAGACGATCAAATCCAGATGATCTCTGGTATGCCACGCAGTAGTTATAGTAGATGACACGTTCGCCTACACGATTTACACTCTGTTCGGGTAGTGTATTGAATTTTTTACCTACTTAACAGATCAGATCATACACACGAAGACCTAAACCCACCACCAAGAAGAATTTCAATCACACTCCTAACCCCCTATCATTTTTGGGTATACGAGTAAACAGGGAGTTCGATATATCTGTAGCCAGGGCTTCCCTTTTTGTTCTTTTTGTTGCTATTGCCACCCTTCAGTGAAGTAGGGGCTTCTAAGAGCTGCTCCGGCTCTATTGGATCCTCCAAATAATATTCATCTTGGGCAGGTTGCTCTGGTAGATCTTGGCTGGATGATATGGACTGTCCATCGACTGGTTCGGAATCAATAGCATCAACTATAGCCCGATTGTTTTGTGAGCTAGCTTGCAATTCATTGCTCGACTCTATAAACTCCGTTAATATCCGTATGGATGTGGGGTGACTTTTCTTACCAAGGCCTCTGATGCCAACGAATCTCTTGCAAGTATCCGCACCTTTCCTGAGGATCCACAACTTTTTGTTTAATTGTTCCCGTCTGCTTTGGCTCTCCCCAGATTCACCTGCAATTTGTCTGATCAAATCTTTGGACATCTCGAATGCGGTTATGGGTGTAAAGATTGCAGTAATTGAATCCAGAAGCTTTACTTCGATTACTTCAGTGGCAATGTCATCAACGAAACGCTTGAGTGCGACCTATTGTTGGCATTACAGATGTTAATCAGATGAGTAGGAATCAAGCGGTCGGTAACACGTACCTTGTAGTAGGCAAGCATACAGTCAAGTGCTTCCTCAGACGCAAAACGTGTCATGTCCGGTATAGTGGTCTGGACAAGAGAGTTTAAAAGCTCTTGGAGATCGATGGTAGCTGGCATAGGCTCAGAGGTTGAAAGCGTGTCAACTTTAAAGTACGATTGTAGGGCTTTCCGAAAGGATTCTTTTTGCCGATCAGCACGTGTTTTTTGGAGTGTTTCGGTGAAGTAATCATTGTAGGTGATGGGATGACCTCGTTGATGCGGCATAAGAAGGTCTTCGGTTCCCTTCTCCAATTCATATCGTAGATTCTCGAGAGCCGGCAAAATTACCATTTTCAATAAGGCCTTTGCGGTAGCCTCATCTGCCACATGTAAAACTGCGGATTGAAGAAACTCTCTTGCGGCTGTCCAGGCGGCAGTAATATGGCTGTGTGTGATATCTTTCCAGGGGCCGCATTGTTCTTGGAATAGATCCTTAACAATCAAAGGACTGAAGGTACCAGGTAACTCTCGACCTCTGGTCTTCTCGAGAAGGTCTCCAATATGCTGAATGTATTCTTCTCTCTTGAAAACCACCTGACGTTTGGAAACTGAACTGGGATCTTCACTTTCTAGGACACAACGGAAATGGCCAAAATGAGAGATATTATCCGTGAATTTCTGATTCAGATTCTGGATGACGGCTCGGACGCGCTTCTGGCACCCATCATTCGTCTTTGTATCTCCGAACAAGGGTTCGTTGTAAGTACTATCCACAGCTTCCTTGACCTAGAGACTGGAACGCTTGACTGATATGCAAAAGATACGACCGTTGCTTATCTAGTATTGTACGAGGATCACAGCCTTTTTCCGAATCTATATTTATTAATATATGCTATCTAAGACGGAACTCTGCGTCTTTATTCTTAGTAAGCAATACAAATGAAGCCTCGCTTTTAGACCCTGGGACTAGCGTATTAGGTTTAGAGATGACGCCTAATGTCCGGTTACCGGAGGGATCAGCTTCCCGCGCTAAACGGAGGACGATCTGGTTTGCAAAATCGTTCTTAGCGGAGACAATGGCAAGAATAACGCTTCTTGGCTCCCGTATATATAACTGAACCACGTCTTGAACTAGTTGTATATCGGCTACAGATTGTTATCGTGTGTTAATCTAAACGTGTTGGAAGGGGGGAACCAGGGTAAGCTTCCTCTCTGTGCCTCGAATTCAAGGAATAGCCTGACAGGATTTTGAGATATATCGTCTACCGTTGCATAGCGATTTCTTTTTCCATAGAAAGTCCTAGTGGTCTCCACACAGCTTCCCTACTAAGTGAATATGTGTATGATATGCCGAAGGTTGGCGTACGTTTTTAAATGTGCTAAATGGAAATCAAAATCAACCTCGAGGAGGCTCCGGTCCAAGATATCATTTCGGATTTATGTGAGACAGCTTAATTGTGATCAAGTAGTTATGGAACCTTTTATGGTGGTCTTCTTGTACTCTAGGAGACATAAGTTTGATCTTATAAAGATGACTACAATATACTTCTTATTGACGGAGAAAACAGAGACAAGATAACAGAAGTCTGCGTTAGTCATAAATCAAATGAGCCATCTGCGGAGTAGAAAAGAAACGTGGACCCATTTCGCCAAACCAGTGTTCAGACGCGCTTTCATATTAATGCATTTGCAAAGTATATCAGAAGACTGCTACTAGGGTAGGTTTGAAGAGGACTAGAGAAATACTGGTGTATTATCAAGAAATATTGTGCCAGCAACGTGCTGGTGAGTCTCTAGAAGAGAATGCAAATTGATGAAACATATGAAAGAATTGCTACCGCCAAAGATCTTCTTCCATCTTATGAAAGCATTTGAGAGATGGTATGTACCGTCTCAGGATTCCACATTATTAGTCACCCTACTGAAAACATGGTCACTCAATTGAGTGGTCCACCGTTTGGAAAAATATCCAATATCAAACAGATACAGCACGCTCCTGGTAACAGCCGCTAGCAAATCTTCTTGACGACCAGACTCATAATCCAATGACTGGCAGTCACTCAAGTGGGGGACCTGACCGAGTATTTGATCGCTGCGGGCAACCATATGAAGCACAGGGGAAATTTGATGCTGCGACCCTAGTTCTTCAATCCTTGCATAGATCTCGGCTTGCCATTCCTTTACAGGTCTGGCGACCAACGGGTTGGGAAGGGCAGCATTGACTGCTTGCCAGAATTGCCTTGTCGATAATGTGGGTGATCTCAACTTTGACAGACCAGTGTGATCGCTGCTGTATATGGTCTGAGTCACAGCGGTGGCGAGACCGTCGAGGGAGGATATATAAATCAAATTAGAATCCGGCTCCTCAGGGAAACATCCGATAGATACACAGCCGGCAACAACACGCCAGAGGAAGTCGTCCACGTTGGCTATGCCGGATTCAGCATTGCCAATGATAAAGCCAGCCTTGAGGATAAGAGTGTGATAGCTAGCGCGTTGTTCCGACATAGCCGCCTGGAACAACATTCGTTCTGCAGCAAGCTTGGTCCAAACATATCCATTTGACACTTTCAGCGTAAGTGGAAGCACTGATGTATCGAAGTCTGAATGGTCCACATCAACCCATGGAGCTGTGGAGATATAAACGAATTGTTTTAAGGACGGACTACTGCTGGCAAGAGCGAGAAGCTGATAGGTGGAGATCATGTTGACGGCTCGGAGCATATCGTAACTGTGGTAGAAGTTGACCGTTGCACCGCTGTGTATAATGGCATCAATGGATGTGTTCGGTCCACCAGCTCCAGATAGCTCGAGCCATTGTAAATCAGACAAGCCAAGATGAGGCAGTTGCAGGTCACCAAGCCAGTATCTGACACGATCCTCATATTCGTGTTGCCACCATCCTGCAACCGTTGCTGAGCTGATGATACGGAGCCGAGCATGGTCAACAGAAGGCGCTCGTACGAGGACAGTAACCATCCGAACGTGATCATCCTGCAGTAATTGATGAAGCAGCGTCGTACCAAGATAACCTGTGCCGCCAGTCAAGAATATTGCCCGAGGAGGTTGATCTCGGTTGTGAGACTGCGTGATGTCGGGCGAAGGTAGTTGAGAGACGAGAGTATCAATGTCGTTGATCACGTCTTCCAAGGTGGTTGCTGGAGATATTTCAGGGTTAGGACCTGAAAGGAACTTACGCTGGTCGTCGGAAGAGGTAATGTGGCAGACACATTCTGCTACAGTGGGGAAGTCGATGATATTTTTGACAGATAAGGGGACATCCAGACGGCGGCTGATACGCGTCGCGAGCTTCGTCACCATCAAGGAGTGCCCACCAAGATGGAAGAAGTTGTCAGTGACCCCGACATTCACGCCCAACACGTTCGCAAATTCCTGGCACAACGCCACTTCTAGGTCGTTTCGTGGGGCCACATAGACCAATTTGGGCTTGCTTCTCGGCGTGACCTGTGTCATCTTCCCAAGTGCCTTGCGGTCAACCTTCCCATTGGGATTGACTGGTAGTTGCTCCAGCACCACAATCCGGGCCGGCACCATGTACGAGGGGAGCAAGGTCTGGAGGAGGTTTCGCATGCTGTCCTCAATGAGTTGATCTTGTATCCGAGCCGCCACAAAAGCGACCATCTCAAACTCCTCATCATCTTGCTTCATCGCCACCACGGCCACGTCGCGGACCGACTCCTGGCCGAGGATTGCATGCTCCACCTCCGCCAACTCAATCCGGTGGCCGCGGATTTTGATCTGCCGGTCCATGCGCCCGAAGAACTCTATTTGACAATCCTTCGGCCGGCAGCGTGCGCGATCCCCTGTGCGATACGCCCTCACTTCCTGGCCGTCGATGATGACATCTATAAAGCGATCCTTGTCCAATGCCGGGTCAGTGTATCCTCGAGCGAGACCGTCTCCTGTGACAACCAACTCTCCCATCACCCCGGGCGGGACGAGTTGTTGCCGTGGGTCCATGATGTAAGCTCCAGAGTTGCTGACAGCATGTCCGATCGGCACTCCATTCGTGAATTCCTCACATTCAGTGATGTTGTGAATGGTGCTAATAACGGCGTTTTCCGTTGGGCCGTAGGCATTGTAAACGCCACCTGGGACGAGCCTTCGCGCTTCGATTGCGTCGCGGCTATCAAACCGATCCCCGGCAACGTAAAGCACATCAAGTGAGCTGATTGTATCAGGTATATCACCCAGGTATTGCTTCAGCAGTGCGGGTGAAAGCATGGCCACGCGGACCTTCTCCAGACCGAGGATAGAAGCGACCCGTTGACTGTCCAAAATCGTGGCGTAGTCGATACAGACCACAGTGCCGCCGTTCAGCAGCGCCGCATACACCTCCCACGCTGAGACATCAAATGAGATGTTTGAGAGATGAGCCACGGAAGGTGACTGTGGAAGCATACGCACAATATTGCTCCCCTTCACCAGCCGGACGATTCCCCGGTGCTCCACCATGACACCCTTGGGTTTGCCTGTCGATCCTGACGTGAAAACAACATATGCCAGGCCTGTTGCGCCAGGCCGCGTAATTAGGGTTATGGAATCATGTAGGGCTCGCTGG